CCTCCTGTCTCCCGCTCTCCCCACGTCTTGGCCACTACAGGGCTCGAGGAGCAGAAACTCGGGGTGGCAGAACCAACCCTCTGGGGCTGGGAAAGGGGCTGGATGAAGTGCAGAGGTGGAAGGCAGAAGGAGGGGAACTGGCCATCTGGCGTCTGGGGACAGAGAGAAGGGAAGGAGAGCACCAGTCAGAGGAGCGAATTTGAGCTCAGACAGAGGTAACAGCAGGCGGGCAGCTTCTGTCCGGGGAGCCCATCTTACATCATTATTTCCCTATCCGCACAAAGGGAGTGGGGAGGTCTGGGATGCCTACATGGCGTGTGGTGGTGGGTGGAGAAACTGACTCGCAGCCCCTCCATGCTCTCCACAAGCTAACCCTACACTCCTGCAGCCAGGGGCTTTGACAAGGGGCGGTGAGAAGCCTCCACTGTGCGACCCCACCCTGCGGCCCCCCCAGCACCAGATCTACCCTGCTAATCCCAGACGCCTCAGATCCCACCAAGGAAGCAAGCCTCCGGGTCTGATACTCGAGCTGGAGATCTGAGCAGTGGACAGATTTGTGTCAATGAAGAGTCAGAACCTGTCTGGTTTGATAGCGCGGGGAGATTTAGATCACAGGGAGGGTGGGTGGGGAGAGAGGGGCATCAGGAGTAAATCTTTTTTTTCTATTTTATTTTTTATTGAGGTTATGATAGCTTACAACCTTGTGAAATTTCAGTTGTACATTATTATTTGTCAGTCATATTATAGGTACACCAGTTCACCCATTGTGCCCACCCCCCACACCCCTCTTTCCCCTGGTAACCACTGATCTGTTCTGTTTGTCCACGTGTTTGTTTATCTTCCACATATGAGTGGAGTCATACAGAGATTGTCTTTATCTTGCTTATTTTGCTTAACATAATATCCTCAAGGTCCATCCAAGTTGTTGTGAATGGGACGATTTTATCCTTTTTATGGCTGAGTAGTAGTCCATTGTATATATATATATGTACCATATCTTCTTTATCCATTAATCAGTTGATGGGCACTTGGGTTGCTTCCATGTCTTGGCTATTGTGAATAGTGCTGCAATGAACACAGGGGTGCGTGGGTCTGTTTGATTTGCTCATTTCAAGTTTTTTGGGTAGATACCCAGTAGTGGGGTGGCTGGGTCATATGGTATTTCTATTTTTAATTTTTTGAGAAATTCAGGAGAAAATTTTGATGGGTCTTCACTCCCTTAGATGTAACCTCATATTTACTGATGACAAATTTCCTGTTTTTGAGTGTAATATTAATTAGGGTGCATTGTCAAATAAATTATATCACTTTTATATTGTGACAATTATGAGCGTGGGGATTTGTTTTGTTCTTCTCCTGGGGTCTAGCATCCTACCTGTCACTCCATAAATTGTTCACTGAAATAGGAATTTTATTAATGAGCCATTTTCATTCTTTAGGTAAAGCTTTGCCTATTCAATCATGTTGATAGCACGTGTGCTTTTCCTTAATGAGGAGGATATTTCATTAACCATCTCATCTAAGTCCAGAGCTCTATTCAATTTACCTAAAAGATTCCAGGACCCGGCGGCTCGTAAGAGGCAGCTGTGGTGATGTGGACAGGGCGCTGAGCTGGGAATCAGAGATCTGAATTTTCATGCAAGCTCTCTCTCTCCCTCATGGGCGCCATCAGGCTGGTCGCTTCTCTGAGCCAGCAATTTCCTCATCTGTAAGAGGGCCACTCCTGACTTTATAAAATCAAAACTGTGGTGAGGATTACAAAATGAACACTGGTTTCCAGGCAAAGCTCAGACTTTAGATTAATCTGACGCCCCTTCTCTGCTCCTTTATGTGGGTTGTTGAACCTCCTGGAGCAAACCACCCAAGCGTGTGCGTGTACCCAGCTGCTTCTGGAATCTGCTATTGTCTGGACCCACGGTCCTCTCCAATGGCAAAGCCAATGGCAGATTCTTATTTAGTGCTCACTTCACTTTCCTACAGTGGTTATTTCAACCCTTGGCTGTATTTAAAGTTCTCAACGTCCTTTCCTCTAAGAATTAGTTTTGTTTTCAATTATACAGAAAACAAAAACCAAAACTATAAAAAAAAATGAATCTACAGCATGTTATTAATTCTCGAAGGAAAAAGGCATAGAAAAAGGACTAGAGTGAAATATGCCAGGATATAAGCAGTGCAATTTTGTTTCTTCATACTTTTCCATGCTTTTCAAATGTTCTGTTACAACACGTATTACATTTTGTTTCAAAAGTCACAGGAAAATAACAAAACAGAAAAGCTACCTATCCTCCACTCCCCCTGCCGTCCTCTTCCCAGGCCACATGAAGGGGTCGCACGCGCTCTCCCTCTCCAGGCCTAATCTCATCATCTGTGCTATTAATTCCATATTCTCCTGACTTCTCAAAGAGCTTGCATTAGCATGAGGCCACCTTTCCCCTCCACGTCCAAGCTCCCATTCCTTGTTAGTCTCTTTTTGTCAGTATATAAGTATGCTTACGTCTTCTCCACATCTTAGCAAGCAAACAAAACCCCATAAGCCCCAGCTTTACCATGGCTCTCCTCTAACTCTAGACCCATACCCCTTTTTCCTTTTACAGCCAAAGTTCTAGAGAGAGTCTGAATTCCAACCTCTAAATCCTCATAACCCATTGCAGTCTGATTTCTGCCTCCAGACGCCCTTACCTTGCTCTTGCCAGGATCTCCAGTGACGTCATGGTCTCATTTTGGTCTTCATCTTACTGACTTCTCTGAGGCACTTGACAGTGTTGTCCGTTTTCTCTTGAAACTGCCTTTCCTTCGTTGCTGTGGCACGATCGTAATGATAATAACTACAACTTATATTGTGTACAGTATCCAATGCACTCTGTCTACTTGCACGTAAGGTCTGTAATGTTCATTCTAACATGAAATGTAGACATCTCTATGATAAAGGAAAGAAATCTGATGTAGAGAGTTGAGGACGCTCGTGTGTGATCATACGGCTCTAAACGATGGAGTGAGGATTTGATCTCTGGTCTTTCTGAGTCCAAAGCCCAAGTTTTTCCCACTGAAGACATTTCTCTCTCCCAGATTTCCTCTGGCCTCTGTGGCTGCTCATTTTCACTTGCCTCTGTGGGCTCATCTTTTGGTGACAGCCATGAACACTCGTGCTCTCCAGGACTCTGCTTTTGGCCCTTTATTCTCCTTACTTTCAGTGTTCAGTATTGTTGGACTATCCTCTCTAGGCCACCAATTCTGCTACAGGCTATAAACGCCCAGCCCCGCTCTTCCTGAGCTTGTGACCCACAGGTGCAACTGTGGGAGGCATTTCTACTTGATTGTCCCACAGGCCGTTCACTCAACGTGTCTTACCACGGAGTTTGTGAGCTGCTCCCTCCACTCCTTTCCTCCTCATGTTCTGGATCCCTACACCCATCTGGGCATCATGTTCTCTCACCATCCTTCTTGGCTAAATTATGGTGCTGTCAGTGCAGAGCCCTACTTTGGCTCCTGGACCTTTGCAGTTACCCTCCTGACCGCTTCTCTGACTCTAATTTTGACTCCATCCACGCCATCTTCCACCTCACTGTATGCTCCCAGTAGTTTGGACTGCTCTGAATCCTCAATTCTGTTATCTCATGCCTCTTTGCACTTATTTCCTTTGCGTAGGATATTCTCTCTGTGCTGTGCGTTGGACAGATTCTGTCTCATCTTTTAATTCCCAAAGATCTGTCTCATCTGTTGAGTGTCAGCTCAAATTCTGCCACTTTCGTGAAGTCCTCCCTGATTTCTCCCAGGGAAGACTCAGATGCTTCCTTTCTTGTATTCTCCCTGCCCTTCAGATAATTATTTTATTCTACTCTAATTTGTTTTGTTTGTGTCTCTTTTAGATTATAAACTTCTTCGGGCGGGCGCTAAGACTATTAAAAAATTTTTTTTTTACTGTGAAATACAACACACCCAGAAGTGCGTTAAACAAAATTTAGAGATAATGAATAATCATAAGGTGAACACTTGTGTAACTATTACCCAGGTTGTGGAATGGAGTGTTTGCAGGACTCCAGGAGCCCCCTGATCTTTTCCTGACCCCACTATCCCTCCTACCGTCTTGGCTTTTATGACAATTACTTCCTGGGTTTTTTGTCATCATTGTACGGTCTGTATATGCATTCCTAAACAACATTGTTTCGTTTTACCTGTTCTCGAACTTTATACAAATGCAATCACGTCATGTGTTCTGTTGTGTTTTGCTTCTTTCATTCAACATTGTGTTATGTAGTTGTATGTAATTATGCTTCTTAATTTTTATTGCTGTATAGTGGCATTCCATTATATGACTTTATTACATGTAATGTATCTATTAATGGAAATTTGGTTTATTTCCAGTTTTTGGCTTTTCTGATGCTTGAAATATCTTGTACACTTCTTTTGGTACCAATGTGCAAGAGTTTCTTCATAGTGTAGATCCAGGAATGGAATTGCCTATCACGGGGGGTGTATATCTTCAACTCTGCCAGATAATGCCAAACTGCTTTTCAAAGTACGTGTCACGATTTCCATCCCACCAGCTGTGTAGAGAGTGCCCATTGCTTTGACAGTGTGTTACTGTCAGACTTTTACATTTTTACCGACATGATTGACGTGGAGCAGTATTTCACTGTGGTTTTAGTTTGTATTTCCCCTTAGTAATGAGGTTGAACACCTTTTGGATTTTTATTGGCCAGCTGGATTTCCTCTTAGTGAAGGGCCCACTCACGTTTTTCTCACTTTTATAATGGGTTGCTTATATTTATTTTATTACTTTGTAAAGTTTTTTACATTTTGGATAGGAGTCCTTTGTTGGTTGTATGTGTTGAAAATGAATTATACCATAAAATCACGCACATTGAAGATTTATCGATTACGGTATTTTTTAATTCTTGACCTGAGTACTAGTAAGTAAGTAGAAACAGAGTAATTAGAAAAAACAAACAAGTAATATATATTACTTCAAATTAATCCTGTGCTTCCCCTCTTCTCTCCAGGTGTCATTATTGTCCCCAGTGCCGGCGTCGGTATTGTCCTGGGAGGCTACATTATAAAAAAATTGAAACTTGGTGCAAGAGAATCTGCAAAACTCGCAATGATCTGCAGTGGTGTGTCTTTGCTGTGTTTTTCCACTCTGTTTATTGTCGGATGTGAAAGTATTAATCTAGGGGGCATCAACATCCCTTACACAACAGGGTAAGTCCCTCGGCACAACCACCTCGTGTCATCCTGGTCATGATGTTAGTGCGAGGCCCTGTGGTGTTTCGATCTCGGGGGCAGACTTGTGTCTCCCCTCCAGGCGGGTCTCCCTGTGTGGGCTTCATCTCTTCAAGTAGGAGAGACCTCCTCTTGGAAGGCAGAGGCCATATGTCTGCTTCGTCTGTGTCCTCACAGAGTGTCTTCCGGGGCATTTTAATTACCATAGATGAGGAGGAAATGCTTGTTGGGTTAATGAAAACAGTTCTTCTTCTTCTTTTTTAATGTAAGAGTTTGAATAGGTGATACATTCACGTAGTTTAAAAAGATAAAATTCCATGAAAATACCATGTATAGTGAAACATCTTGCTCTGACCCAAATCCTCCGCCCCACGGCTCCAGCTAAAGACAACCCAGGTAACTACGTGAATTCATTTCTTGTGTACCCTTGAAGGCTTCTTTATACAAGATGCTATAAACATGTATTTTCTATTTTCCCTGTTTTATATCCAAAAGATAGCATTCTATATGTACTTTTCTGAGCTTTTCTTTTTTGTTAGTGTAACAATATAGCTTGGAGGTCCTTTTGTACTGGTAATACTACAACTCAACACACCTAGTCCTTATATTGACACTACTGCATGCCAAGCATTCTTCTAGACGCTTTATATGTGTTAACTCATTAGTCCTCACAGCAATACAACAGGGAGGTGCCGTTATTTTCCTGATGTTACAGATGGCAAAACCGAGGCGCAGATCACACGTAACTAGTGGTATACTGATAAATATGTACCCAATGGCTCTCTAAGGAAAAAGGTCCGAATCTGTAGCATTTGCTAATTTCTGAGGTGTAGATATTCTCACCATGGTTGATTTCAGGCTACTAACGTGAAGACACTGAACACCGAGTTGGGAGGAGATGCCTGTCACAAACCATTATATAATATTTCCGTCATACAGATATGATAGACTTAAATAGTCTAGTCAAGAGCATAGAGAGTTGTAAGGTGTGGTAAAATCATTAGGAGATATGTTTTGAGTGTTTATCCTTGTTTTTAATATTTATTTAATGGTAAGCCTATATAATTTAATTTTTGATAATGGCTATGCTAAACAAGCAGTTGGCAAAATCCCTGAAAATTTGACAGTAGGATTTTGTGACCCAGGGTGGCTGTGCTTAACCTGGACTTAACCCCAAGCAATTTACAGAGTCCGTGCCCTTAGCTCTCTTTTTAACCACTTTGTAACATTCCATTTAATTCTATTTCATAATTTAACCAGTCTCCATTTGATGGGCAGTTGGGTTGTTTACAATCTTTAATTATTAAAAACAGTGCTGCAATAAATAGCCTCACGCGTATATCACTTCTCTTTCGTGCTGTGTATTTCTAGAATATTCCCGGAAGTGGGATTGTAATAAATATTGTCAAATGCCTCCTCAGCTGTTGTATCAATTTGTACACTCACCAGCAGTGGATCTGAGTGTCGATTTCCTGCAGCCTCGCCAAGAGAAGGTGGAAAACGCTTCTTTGAGAGTTACGAAAATTTTGACTTCTAGTTCTTGAGTACATGCGGGTTTATTAGGATCTGCTCATTGGACAGAATTTTCCTGCCTAGTTTTTGGTGCTTCGTGTCAACAAACGCTGTTTCTTTTTGGTTCTCGGTGGAGTTTTATGTTATAAAATGTTCCACTTGAAATGTGAATAATAAAAGCTTTAATTTCATTTTGCAAATTGAATATTAGAGATCTAGAATATTAGAGATTGAAAAAAAAAGAAACTGCCAATCGGAGTGTATTTCGATGCCAGAATATGACCATTTGTCTGGAGAGTTCTCTTTCCACCAGGTGTTGTGTGTGTGTGCGATGAGCATCCCAGGTTTGTGGCCCCCTGACAGTGCCGATTTGAATGGCACAGGAAATAAAATCTTTAAAAACTTAAGGACAGTATGGAATAAGAGTTCAGGTTCCTGAGTCGAATCTGAGTTTGAATCTCGCCTCTGCTTGACCAGTTTCTTCACTCTCAGCCTCAGTATCCTCATCTGTAAAATAGGGTGATGATAACAGGGTTTAGTCCGTTTGGGCTGCTGTAACAAAAATACCATAGACTGGGTGGCTCAGAAGCAACAGAAATTTATTTCTCACGGTTCTGGAGGCTGGAAAGTCCAAGATCCAGGCAGCGGCAGATTCGGTGTCTTGTGAAGACCTACTTTCTGGTTCATGCATGGCTGTCTTTTTGCTGTGTCCTCACATAGTGGAAGGGATGAGGCGTCCCTCTGGGGTCTCCTTTACACGGGCACTAATCCCATTCATGAGAGCTCCACCCTCATGACCTAACCACCTTCCAAAGGCTCCACCTGCTGACGCATCACACTGGGGCTTAGTGTTCAGCATGTGAAGTTTGCAGCGACTCAAACCTTTCGTCTACAGCAATAGTAATCACCTTAGAAGGCGGCAGGCGAGATTCCATGAGTGACACCGTGTGAAGCTCTCTGCTTGATGCCTGGCGCACAGTGAGTGCTCAACTGAAAGTTAGCTGTTGTTATTAGTCATAACTAATACAAATAATTTCTATTTCTATCACACTATTTTTATGACACTTGGAAAATAGAAATATAATTAAGAAGTTAGTAACAAAAACTCAGCAGTCTCCTGAATAACTCTATTTCCCAGGGGCAATAAGTTTTAAATTCTTTTTAGCTGTGTCTTCTGGTACTTACTTCTATACACACACACACACACACACACACACACACACACACACACACACACACACATATATATTTTTGTGTGTGTGAGGAAGATTGTCGCTGAGCTAACATCTGTTCTGGTCTTCCTCTATTTTGACGTGGGACGTATCCACAGCATGCCTTGATGAGAGTTGTGTAGGTCTACACCCAGGATCTGAACCCACAAACCCCAGGCCCCTGAAGTGGAGTGAGCAAACTTAGCCACTCCACCACTGGGCTGGCCCCATACTTTTGTTTCTGAGGAAGATTAGCTCTGAGCTAACATCCACCACCAATCTTCCCCTTTTTGCTGAGGAAGATCGGCCCTGAGCAGACCTCTGTGCCTGTCTTCCTCTATTTTATATGTGGGACGCCACCACAGCATGGCTTGATAAGTGGTGTATGGGTCTGCACTGGGATCTGACCCGGCAAACCCTGGGCTGCTGAAGCGGAGTGCACGTACTTAACCATTACACCACCAGGGCAACCCCCAACTTCCTTTTTTAAGGCATAATTTATAATTACTCAAAGTGAGACATTATTTATGACCTTTTGGTAAATGAGGAGTTCAGCTTTGCCTTCACAAGTTGTGGTCAAATCCTTTTTTGACATTTTCGTGTTATGATTATGACAGTATTGTTAGCCGCTGAGGCACATGTAGAGTATTGTGATTAGATTTTTCTCTTTCGTGCAACATTGATTTTCCTGGAATTAGTAATTGCCTTATTTTCATTTGTTTTGTTTTCTTTGACTCTGCGTCTAGCTTCCCACATGCTCTATGGGCTCAAAATATCTCAGCACAATTTGTCACCTGTCTGATGAGGGCATGGTTCCATTTCCACCCCTTTGAGTCATCTATATGGGAGCCCTAGTCCCTGCTCTAATCTGGGCATGATGCTGTCCAGGCCCGCTGTCCAGCTGTCATCCTGGGGATCCCATTAGCCTCTCTCCATATTAATTCTTTGTTTTCTGGACTCTGTGGACACCTCTTTTTTGGTTTACTCCGTCATTCTGTTAGAGCACATCCTCTGGTAGCTACAGGAAGCCTGTAACTTTTTTGGGGGGACTTTTCATGAAATAGCCTTTTTTTTTTAAACCATTGCATTTGATTGCCAAATTGACCAGGTGGAGAATTTTGGATGAATCATTTTCACTCAGCCTTTTAAAGTTTTTGCTCTATTGTCATCTAATTTCTAGTGCTGTTGTGGGAAGTCTGGCCTTTCTTTTTCCCAATCCTTTGTATGTGACCTATTTTTCCTTCCTGGGAGCTTCCACATATTTCTGGTGTCCCCAAATTTCACCATGGTATATTTTGGGGTGGGTCTTTTTTTTTTTTTTCTGAGCACTTGGTGAGCTTTTAATGTCTGGAGATTGTGTTCTTCAGTTTTGTTTTTATTTTTTATTTACATTTTGTTATTTTCTCCCCACCATTTTTTTCTCCTTCCTTGACTCTCTACTTTTCTTATTGTTTATTACCTATTTTATATCTCATAGTTTTGGTCCTACTTTTTTGAAAGATTTCTTTAACTTTATTTTCCCAGTCTTCTGTTAATTCTTTATTTTGTCTATTGTGTTTTATTTTTGCTGAGGAAGATTCACCCTGAGCTAACATCTGTTGCCAGTCTCCTTCTATTTTTTATGTGGATTGCTGCCACAGCATGGCCACTGATGAGTGGTGTAGGTTCGCACCCACGATCTGAACCTGGGCCACCAAAGCAGAGTGTACCAAACTTGACCACCAGGCCAGTAGGGCTGGCTCGGCTATCGTATTTTTAATTTCCAAAGGTCTTTCTTGATTTTTGATTGTTCCTTACTTCTAGCCTTCTTGCTTCATGGATAGGATATCTTCTCTTATTTCTCCAACATTATTTAGAGTTTCCTTTCCTTCCTAAATTGTCTCTGTGTCTTCTGAGTGACTGCTTTTATTTTGCTGTCTTGATTGTGTTGGAAGCTTCCCTCATACTTCTGGTGATTTTCAGCTTTCTCTTAGTATTGAGGGATGTGCATTTGAAAAGCTGAGTAGGTGCTCCATGTTTGCGGGTGGGGCTCGTCCTTTTGTGGGTCTCACTATAGGGTGATTGAAGGGAGGGGACAGCTGACATTTTCACTGGGACTCTCAGTGTCAGAATTGAGGTCTTATCTCTGAGGTGCTTCTGTTCCTCAGGAGAAGAATTCTCCTGTTTCTTGGCTGGGGCTGTGTGGGGTGGGTTCAGGGTTGTAAGCCTAGCTGCTGGCTTTCTAGAGCTGGGGGGTGGGGTGGTGGTGGGAAGGGG